GAATGAACAATGCAATAACAATAATAATAAATAGAAACATGTTGTTGGAATACTAACAAGTTACATGCAATCTACAACTAGAGTATAACAATTAGAAGAATCCATAAATCATCCGAGTAACAAGATCATACAACTAACATCCTATAACAAATCACTGGTTCATATCTCACATAGAGTCAACGTTCATATTCTCGGATAACTGATTGTTCATAAATCTTCTACGTGCGCTACACGAATCGATTAGAGGGCTACACGCAATCCGACTTCGGCCTGGTCCCAACTCAATCAAAACTCAGGTGACAAAAAAGCTTCCCACTGACTAAAGTGACTACACGAATTCACTTTGACCTAACAAATACCAACCCCAATGACTACACGAATTCACCGATGCGAGTTTGGAAGATACATCAACAACCATATCCGATCACATGAACTATGACTTTTCCATCCCAACTCTTCTTATTTTTCTAACTCAACACAACACATGTCTCTAAGTATTGTACATGATACGCAAGTTCACTAAAGTCATGAACTCCTAATAGTTCTCAATCACAATAAAGAATAATAAATACAACTAATTCTATACAATAATATCATGATATATTACATAATAAAATTTAAGAATCATGAATCATATTAAGAGCATAGGAATTAACTTAATTTCCATAAACCACCACTTTAATATATTTATGCACGTAGACTCATTTCATGAATATCTCACTATTCGGATTTCTAAACTTATTATAAAAATTATCAGTAACTAGGTAACATCTAGCATAACAGCAGTGCAAAGAGGAATCTGGAATCAGTGGATGCTTTTTACATGAAATAACGCGATCTACAACCATCAATTACACAATCATAAATTTATTAAATATAATTCTTCTAAATTATTTCTTGTTATAATTATTCTAACTAATCTTTAAAATTATCTTTTATATTTTTTTGAGTGACCAGTAACTTTTTATTTTTTTTTATTTTTTTTAAACCGTACCTATTTTCAAGCAAGATAAATTGTAGATAATTGCAAGAAGTAAGATCTTGCCTGGAGGACGTTGAGAGTGTCATAGAGGGTAGAGGGGTCGTCGGGGTGGATGCACGGGTCACAACGGGTTCCGCGGGCTCGTCAAAAAGTCAATCGGTTAGAATACAAAAGAGAGGTGTTAGTAACGATGAGCGATATTCAAAGTGATATAACGAGAGGTAAGTAATGAGCCCAAGTGAGAGGGAGATACCGTGTGATAGAAAATATAAAGGACTACACACCGGCGAAGATGATGGCGGAAACGAAGATCGGAGGTGGCCGGAAAGCGTGCAAAGTCGGCACGAAACTATCGGAGGTGCCATCGAGTGATGTTCCGGATGTTACAAAGAGAGATAGAGAGTGAGTTAGAGCATGATACAAGTTGGAGGTGATAGGCAACATATAGGGCTACTCACCGGAGAAGAAATCGACGAAAATGGAGGTCAGAGGTGATCGTAAAGTGCATACGAAGTCGATACAAAGCTGTCGAAATCTTCTCGCTGATCAGTCACTATTCAGTCACTGTTCAGGCTCATTTCTTGCTGCTCAGAGCTTCTTCTTGCTGTTCGGGCTTTCCGGAGGTGGGAGGAGGTCGTCAGGGTCATCGAGGTGTCTCGATGGGCTTCGACGGGGCTGTGTAGGGATTCAGTGGGGTTGCTCAGTCAAGGAGGGGAGAGAGGAAGCGGAGATGATGCTGGTGGAGGTTTGGTGGCGGAAGAGGGGAGATGGAGGTGGTTGGCGTGTAGTTTGGGAAGGGAGAAGGTGAGAGGAGGAGGGGGTTGTGCGGCGGCTGATCTCAGCGAGGAAGAGGTGGGTTCGCGCTGTTTGCGGTGAAGGTGTCGCGTCTGAGAGGCGGCTGTTCGATGAAGGGGTTAGGCGCGGGCGTCGAAGGAGGGGTTGGGGTGATGTTAATGCGGCTGGAGTTGAAGAGGAGATAAGGCTAGTTAATGGGCAGTAAATTGAGGCTTTGGTTGGGTGAGAGAGATGAATGAAGGGGGGAGAGAGATATGAGCGTACGAGAGAGAGAGAGATGATTGGAGAGAGGGAGAGAGAGTGAGGGAGACAGGAGAGAGAGAGGCAAGAGGGGTTGGTGGAAGCTCGTGGGCGGCTTGGGGTTGGTTTTGGCTGTGTGTGGAAGTGGGATTAGTGAGTGTATACGCGGTGTGGGGAGTGAGGTGGAGAGGGTTAGGAGATAGGTATTTGTCTCCTATTTTTTCATTAACGAAAATAAATAACAAAAATTATTAAAATGAATAATAAAAATTAATAAAAATAATTAAATTTATAATTAGCCAAATAAATATAAAATTGGGTTTTTAAATCAATTGAAAATTCTAGAAAATTGATTAAAAATATAAATACTCTTTTAAAATAAAATTTAATATTTAAATACCAGAAGAAAAATTATTTAATTAGTATCAACAAATTACGATCCTTATACCATCCTAGATGGAAATTTTCGTCTAGGATGCTTGATTTTCTACTAGCACACTATTATATGTTTTATGTTACTAAATTTTATACACGTGTAATGCATGTGGTTAAATATCAAAATTATTTACTTTGAATAAATTGTATGGGGTTAAATATCAAAATTACTTACTTTTTGTAGGTTAATTTTTTTATATACAATATAAGTTTTTAATAAAAATCTAAACATAGTTATGGTGCAAACACTGCAATGCTTGAGAAACAAAAAAAGTAATTTATTGAGAAGGTGTTGGTGGTAGGTAACCAAAAAGTCAAATATTTGTGATGGGGGTGAAGTTGATGCGGATCCGCTTCCTTCCCCGAATATCCGGTTCTAAGTTGGGTAGCTAAAGCCTGCACATATAACAGTTCGTGATAGGATGGGGCTTGGTTCCTCCGTTGTACCTCCGACGATCAAGTTAGCTGGTGAACTTGAGTGGGAAAATTGAAGAACTGTGAGAGTTCTCATGTGTAGGATAATTTAGATCAGAGATTAGATCCCAGAAGATCAGAATCGAACCCCTCGAATGTTAGACTAGTGCCTCTATTTATACTGGTAGTATAAGGGTAGAACTGTCACTTCGGCCGAGTACATGATAGAGGTGAAGAAATATAGGCTGGTGACTGCGTCAGCACCTACTTTACAGATGTCGCTCAGCAAGTGGCAGAGAGATCAGTTCTGCATTAAATGTAAAGTGATCGGGGGCATGACGGTGCCGACGTGGTCCGATTAGTCATGAAGACTATTGGGGCTAGAGGCATGATGGTGCATGCCAAACATTAAATGCGATGCTTACACGTTGTTAGTGGGAGAGGCTCAAGGTTAAAGTCCTTTAGCTTGGCAGAGAAGTAACGCCTTTCGTGTCGATCTCACGAGGCGTCAAATAACTGGTCGAGTGGGTCGTAGCGAGTTGCCTTTGACAAGAGGACCGACAAGCACCGCCCTTCGAGTCAACCCAAGAAGATGTCGACTCGGCATGTCGGCTAAGTCGAGGTCGTTGCTGGTTTTGATTGCCAATTTAATTGGGGCATTGCATGAAGAAGTACACATGTTCATTGCTGTCAAATGGCTACACTTTATCGATTGGAAACACCATAACAAAAGGCAAAATAGACACTACAATGCTTGAGAAATAAACTAAAAATGGTCAAGATATTTGACCAAAAAAATTCCCTGCGTTTAAACAACTTAATAAGAAGAAAATAATAGAGATCTAAAACTTATTACTAGCAATATTTAAACAATCTAAAAAAAGATCACGCACACAATATAATTCACTATCTTTAAACAATCTAATCTAATCTAATCTAATAAGAAAAAAATAACAAAGACACATACATGTTGAAGGAGACGAATGTCCTATGAAAATTGTTGTAATTTCATAGATTCTATATTTATGCATGGAATGTTGTATATGAGAGGATGACAATTGTAAATAGAGTTGTATTTGGATGACAATTGTATAATTCCTTGAAGTTTAAAATTATTAATATGTAAGATTAGGATAGGTTTAGGATTGAAATTAATAATAAATATAGGATTATAGTTCAATTACTATTGTATCTTTCAATTATGATGTGAAGTAAATTGAGCTGTAGGACAAATATAGTATTATTGTAGTAAGTTTTAAATTTACATTGTTGAGCTATAGGATAGGACAGATACAATATTGTTGTATTTATAGTGATAGTGATTTTAAATTGTTAATTTATGTGATATTAGTGTAGCATAATTAGGATTATGATAGATTATGATTAAAATGTAATATTTAAAATAGTAAAGAGTAATGTTGACCTAGTCACACCCAAGATATAGGCATTCAGGTTGCGTACTCTTTTAATTTCTTTTTCATAAAAGAGGAACATGGAATTGACATTCACATACCTGAGATTTGTATAGGAACAAAAATAATCTGTCAAAATCTTTTGTAAAAGGTAAATAGATTTCTTCTAAGAAATGAAAATACTATTCCAATCAGTCTGTTTGTGAAGGAAAAATCGCAATAAATATAAAAAGGAAAATTCAAGATAACTACCTATTTAGAAAATATGGTCTCAATTCTATTTCTATAGATTTTTGATACGATATGGTTCCCAGTGATGAAGCATGTAGATATGGATAGTTCCAATAAGATTTCGATCTCCAACTAAAACCCATTTTTGTACATTCAAGCTTATGATTTATTAAGGATAACAGGGAATTTCATATTCCCTCAAAGACACCTAAATATTATAGACAAACACTTGTGACTGAGAAACAAAACATAATACTCTAAAAAATTAGATTGCAGAGACATCTACAAAGAAATGGGGATGAGCTGATTTCCCGGGCTTTAGTTTTTAAAAGGGCCTCACACCTTTCTTCTAAAAAAATTAAAAAATAAAATAAAAATAAAAAATAAAAACAAAAAAGGGGGAAAGAAATAAAAATATCCCCTTCTTTGTTTTCTTTATTTGTTTTCCCTTCCCATAATCTCCTTCTTCCTACCTAAAACATGCACCCCACGTCCGTAGAAAACAAAACAAACAGTCAAAATTTAGCATCTTCAAACCCAGCAAATTAACACCCACCAAAAATAGATTCCTCAAAGGATTCCCCAACTTGCCTAACGACCCCCTTCTTCCATGTTTCCCTGAGGGCCCTTCTGCAAACCCAGCCCTAGGGAGATGATCGACGCCTGCGGAGACTAAGGAAGAAGAAGAAGAAGGAGAAGAAGTTGGCCATGTTTGAAGGCAGGCAGGCTCACAGCTTGATATTGGAGAACACCAATGGCGAGGTTAATGGAGAACATCATGAGAGGATGTTTAGGAGCCAAGGTAGTTGTAGCTCGTCGTGTCTTAACGGTCAGCAGATGATTGGGACGGTGCTTGATACCGCCGCCAGCGCCAAGATTCCAAAGTCTAGACTCGGTGGTGGAGGAGGAGGGACGCCTCGCGAAGGACCTTCAGGTATTGATATTGCATTAATATGGTACGTAGATGAGAAAATAATAGGGTATTTAGCGACTTATCGATGTTTATGTGATCTATTTCATTAACTGTACGTATCACTGAAAGTTCTTGATCGACAAACATGTAAGATAAGCATGTAATTTTGAATCATTATAGAAGTCTGAAAACAAAAGAAAAACGCGTTGTCCCGGGGCTAGGTTGTATATATGAAGGCAATAAAATATATAGCATAGTATAAGCAAAAAACATATGAAGGATAAAATGGTTAAGCAAACATCCTTATTTTTATTATCATGTTATTATCTGTTTGAATATTAATGTTAATTGTACTATAAACTTTATACTACCATGATACTTTGAGGTATAAAAATATGAAGTTGCTCCTCATGAATTGCTATAAGGACCCTGAGCAATGTTTATATCTCAGGTAGTTGTTTGTCTCCTGTATTTAGCATTATATTTCTTTATAATACCGATTATCTCATGTTTTTTTTTTTCTATTTCGTTGATGTAATATATTGAATTGATTGATAATTACATGAACGAAATTAGGGTGATTTGTAGATTAGAATTTGAATGTGATACGTGTCATAGGCAGATGATACATTCAATATAATTTTTGACATCTTGGCTTAATTCTGTATAGATCAAGAAGTAACCTCAAAAACTATATATGATTTTAATGTGCTACAAAAATTACTCTAATTAATAACTTCAATTTTTTGGAAAAGGAATAAGGGTATTTTAGGAACTAAGAATAAGAATACAAACTGATTTTAGAGATCAGTTATAAATCAATCGTACCTCGTACTGCCTAATTTTGTTTTCTCTTTCCTCCGTATGATAATATCTTGTAGATTTGGTTTTTCTAGCTACTTTCCTTAAAAGTATATATATTATCAATAAATTAGCTAACCTTCTGTTTCTTTCCTTTAAAAAATTGAGTATAGATAGGTATTCCGAGTCATAACCATATTGTTTACTAAGTTGAAATTTAAACATGATTCTAGCAAAAAAGAAAATTTCTCAAATAAAATAGTATATGATAGGCATTTCAATAAATTTATCATCTCATTTTTAAAATCCTTCCTAATTTTCAGCCTATTTTCTACTTTTGACCTATTAAAATTTTCTCAAAACTAAATTCTATTATCGAAGCAGCAAAACAGTTTTCATGATTTTAATGCAACTAGTTTTTACACACGTGCAATGCACGTGATTTAATACCATGATTACGTATTTTTGACAGTTTGTGCTCATTTTTTTCTTTAAACTCTTACATCCCGATTATTTTTTTATGTTTGTTTAAATGGGATACACCCAATTTAAATTTTCATGTTGATATTTGAATTGACAAAAAACAAATATAATTTAAAAATAATTTGAATTTTCATATTATTTTTGACCGATATGAAACTAAGCTTTATTTGAGAAAGTATAGCATTGCAAAGTAAAAAATATTAAAATAGTGTTATACAAGGAAGGTGAATATTTAAAACCAATATGACAAAATGATTGATTTAAAGTATGTTAAAACGATGCTAAACAGAATATGAAGTTTATTCCTAATCATTGATAGAGTTCATAAAAAAAATATAAATTAAAGATTAATGCTAACTCTAGTATACTTTTATATGATAAAAACATCCACATAAGAATATAAAAATACTGAAAAAAATTCATGAAACTCCCTTCTAAAGATTCCTAATTTCACTCAAAATAATTAAACTATTCTATAAAATATTCATAAAATATTATTTTTATTTCTTCTATTTTATTTTTTATTGAGTTAAGATCAATCCTTCTTCAGGTTTATCATTTATCATTTCTCGGACAATTCTAGAGTATTGTCTTCATCATCTACATTAATTGTGACATCAGGCTAATTTTGTATTTTTTATGCTATTATCTTTCCTAGGCTCGTTAATTTTTTATCATCTCATTTAACTTTACAAAGAAGTCAAATGTACTTATGATGTTCAACACAAACTGCTCAAAATATAGACTTTGATTTTTTTTCTATTTCAATAAGAATAAATATTAATTTCATATATATAAAATTCTTTGTGTTCCTAATTTATTACTTAAATAAATTAGAAGCTATCTCTTTATTTTTCTCTAAAATGAATTCTTCTGATGTGCATCCAATAAGAATTTCTGTTATTTCAATAATATTACCTTTGCTCTATCCCTGTCATTTTTCATAAAGATCTAAACTAAATACCTGCATTATTCATTACCAATTTCTCTGAGATTATAATATTAATATTTAATTTGAAGAACACCGTATGGAATTTATGAATACTTATTAATTTTTCTTATGTCTTCCATGGAGATTTTTTCTTTCATTAGGATAAAGTTATTAAACTATTTTTTAATATAACTCATTCAGTGCTTCATTAATAGATATGTCTTATATTAATGCCAATTCAAGTGATTCATTGACTTTTTCTGAATTTTAGATTTATTTCCATCACTTTCCCATTTGCAATGGAAATAACTCAATTCTTTTAAAGTTATCTCTAAATATTCTAATAGTTTCTACATATGTAATTCCTTGTATTCTTTTACCCTATAAATATTATTAACGTCAAAGATTAAAGTTTCTAAATTAAAATCAATTAATGCTAAGGTATAATATTATAGTGGTTTATCATTTCTATGGATTTAAACATCTATCAATTAATATTACGAATGTATTTTGGCTACCCCAATTTATTACTAAAATTATATGAAATTACTTTAATTTATATAGTGCCGATAATTTTTAATCTATAATATTTTTAAAAATTTTATCCATTAACCGGATGTTTTTAATCAATTCTTATTGTTTTTGTTTACCAGTATCAACTTAGACTATTCTTAGATGCTGAAAATGGATAGTAAATCCCTAAATTACAAATTTTAATATATATATATATATATATATATATATATATATATATATATATATATATATATATATATATATATATATATATATATATGAAAAATACCAAACAATTACACTTTTCTTTGCCAAGTTTTAAAATTTTAGCCCATTTTTGTGGTTTTGAACTTTGAGGGTGTGATTTATAATTTTGAAAGAGTTTTTAAAAAAAATTACTTTTAAGTTTGGTAGTTGTAAATTCTATGTTTCATGTGTTGGTGGTAATTTTTTAAATGTTAGTATATTTCTTGTAACTCTAAAATTTTGAGGGTGTCTTTTGCAATTATTAAAACTATAGATTAATTTGAAAAAATATTAAATTTCAGCGGTCTACCAATCGACGAATTTGATGTGTGCTGGTTAAAATTTTTGAAAATTTAGAGTTTTTTTTATGATTTTTAAATTTTGAAGGAGTTTTTTAAAATTTTTGAGGTTAATTTTGGAAAATTTTAATTTTTTAGGTGTCTAAGGGTAATATCTTGAATTCATCTTATTTTATTTACAAATTTTAGAATATTAGGGTGGCTTTTTATAATTTGAACATTTGAAGGTGTTTTTATAATTTTTGAGATATTGAGGGTGTTAATTAAAAAATTTAAATTTAAATGTCAAAAATTTTAGGTGTATCATGGTAATCTCTTGAATTCATCTGTGTTGTTTGTAAGTTTTAAAATTTTAGAATTTTAATGTGTTTGTCTGTAATTTAAACTTTTGAGGGTGTTTCTATAATTTTTGAGACATTGAGGTGTTTAATGTAAATTTTAAATTCTTTGCAAATTGATGTTAATTTTTTAATTTCATGGCTTCGTTTGGATACCGTGGTGTTTTTCTTATTTTGTTTTTGTAAAAAAAACACCATGGTGTTGTGTTTTTACCGTAAAATATTTTCAAAACACCATGTTAAGTATTTTTCGTCAACACTAGTTTAACCCATTATAACATTAGTATTAAATATATTATTAATATATTATATATTAATTATAATAAAATATATTATGAATAAAATGTTATAATATTTAGTTTACATTATTATAGTATTATAAGTATTAAATGTAATGCAATATAATATTGTATAATGTATTATAATATTATATTGTACTTTAATGAGTTATATTATATTATAATTATTTTTATTATATTATAATTATTACATATTATTTTTAAATAATTATATATTTAATTATTTTGGTATATCAATTTTTTATTGTTGTATATTATATTAATATGTTTATAATAATTTTATTTTCTTATTAATATAATATAATATTATATTATACTATT